CGCAAAATTTGAAAACGCGGTTTAAGTGCGGTTTTCCGCCTGGCAAATTGTCCAAAATTCACTGCAAAACCCAAGCTCCGTTGAAGGCTTAAAATGAATTCAGTTAACACCAAACTTTACATGTGTTAAGAGAAAGTCTTCCCATTCATTTGTGTTATGTTAATTTTTTCCGTGCACAGCTATTTTGTGATTTTTTTTTTTTGTCCCTTAAGCAACACCCTCAAAAAGTGCTGTACATGGGGCGAAAAATAGGTAAAATTTAATGCGATAAAAGTATACCTGGTACATAAGGTTTTAACCTTTTAACTAGATTTTCGTAATAAAATGTCCTTATTCAATACCTGAGTAAAATTTGGTGCTTTGAATCGGAACGCCTCCTTTTGGAAATACCACGAATATTTGTGACCTGAGCGAGTGGCATATGGTACTTCGATGACTGGACTGGACTGGACTGGACTAGTAAAACGCGGACTAGTAAAGCGCGGACTAGTAAAACGAGGACTAGTAAAGCGCGGACTAGTAAAACGCGGACTAGTAAAACGCGGACTGGTAAAACGCGGACTAGTAAAACGCGCACTAGTAAAAACGCGCACTAGTAAAACGTGCACTAGTAAAACGCGGACTAGTAAAACGCGGACTAGTAAAATGCGGACAAGTAAAACGACAACAACAAAAAAAACAATTTCATACGAAGGCGATCATAAGACTTAATGGCAAGCCAATTTAGTAAGTGACAATACCTGTTTGACCTTTAAGCTGCAAATGGGTTTGAAATGCGCCAGATACAAACAAATTTATAAGTTTAGGCTAAGAAAGAATTTTATTCAGCACCAGTTCAAAATCCTAAAATACACTTTCGTCGTAAATTTCACGGCAGAAACGAAGGAATTCGATGAACAAAAGTCGCATGAAATCTCTTCGTGTCTAGGTAGAAAGAGTCTCATTGACTTCAGCTTTTCCGTGGAAATAAAAAATACTTTCCGTAAGATCTCTGTTTTTCTTTTTACGAGAAAATCGTCGCATGATCATTTAACTCGTGTGTGTTTGTCATACCAGTGCTGCTGTTTCTTCAAAAGCGTATGCTTTTTTACTCTTCAATTGACAGGTGTAACATCATGACAGTTACTTTTCAAAAAAATGTTTGAAAATTTATGCGGAACCCTTTTAACTACCTTTACAAATAAAAATGTTTCGGCGAAAGCTTTCTCTTTAATTAGAATAAAGTTTAACTCACTCGCTATCAAATTGTTAAGTTTAAGGAGGATTTTCCCGTAATTAAACTCGTAATTGTAACCCTAAATCATTCGGGTTCAGTCAAATTAAAGAGAAAGCTGTCGCCGAAACATTTTTATTTGTAAAGGTAATTAAAGGCTTCCGAGCAAATTTTGAAACATTTTTTTGATAAGTAACTGTCACGATGTGACACCTTTCAGTTGAAGAGTAAAGAAGCATATGCTAAACAGCAGTACTGTGCACATCGTTAAGGGAAGGGAGAGCTAAAAACGCTGAATGACTTTTAAATGAATGACTTTTAAAATTTCGGTGTTTTGCAATGACAAGGTAAAGAGGCGGTCTTTTATCTCATCTCAAACAGTGATTTGACTAATTTGGCATTTGCGATGAAATCGGTTTCGTTTAAAATCCAATGTCGCAGATTTGTCAAGTAATCTTCCGTTAATTAAAGACTTACCATCCTCTGCTATGGTAAATTAAGAGAGTTCAGGCCAAGGCGACAGGCTCACTGCTGCAAATGTATAATATACGGCAATGTGCGATGGATGGAAGGAAAATGAACATATGCGAGGTGCCGAACAGTTTAACAGTGCATTTGCCCCGTGATTTAAGCACTCCTGCGGGACCAATGTAGTATAGTTAGTTCTGGGTCAGTCGGTGCAGTTCTTTACGCTTCTTGCTCCTTTAGTACCTTATTAAATTCCCGAAACAAAGCTGTCCAATAGTATTCTGTTCCATTGAGACAAAACATAGCAAAAAAGTGGAAAACAAACTTACAAAATATGGGTTTTCTGGGATGATTTCGCTTTATTAACAAGTTATCGACGATATAGCCCTTCGTCAAAGCAAATCGAGAATTGTGGGTCCCGCGTGGTTGATATACAGAAAGTTGGAGCTACGCTAAAGAGGAGGAATATGGTATCGCGGAAAATCCATGAATGAAAAAGTCGAATGTAGAGCGTTTGTTGATACTGTGGGGAATAAAGAGGGTCAACTTAAAAGATCAATTTTTAGTCTAATGTTTTGCGGCTTTCTGAAATGCGCAGATGAAGGAAAAGACCGCAAACTGCCATATGTTGCTTAGAATGACTGAGGAGATTAAAGTGTCTAGCGACTGGTTTGGATGCGTCATTGTCATTCCTCTTTACGAACGTATTCTCGGAATCTCGGTGTCGCCTAATTGTCTTCTTGTTTCGCCGAGGTATGACCTTACAGACCTTGAAGGAATAAGTGCATTAGATGACATTGGTGGAGGTACAAAGAAAATGATCTGTGATCTTAATGGTCGCTTGACTCAGCTGGTAAAAGAAAGGATAAGTTTTGCATTTAAATTTTCCGAGTTGATCATTTGCGTGGAGTGCAGTACAAACCAAAACTTGTCTTTGCTTTTATTGCGTTTGAATGAAATTAGTGGAGGTTGTCAAAATATGCCATGCCAGTCAGGGGACCATTTTGAAGTAATTTGAAGTTTTTTAGAACGATGGACTTCACAGGGTGATTGTGAGGGTGAAATATGAGGGTAAATGTAATCCGATCATTCTTTTCCTTCTGTGACGTTTGTGCTGGATCAAATTTGTTGGACTTGGTAATGGCCCGCTTACACAACAGGAAAAGATAACTGCACTTTCCGAAAATTTGCCAGTTTTTTGTGACTATCCTGCTTCTGTTTGGAATCAATGGTGAACACAGAAATGTGTTTGTCCCCTTAAGGATCAGGGATAAGAACCAATCAAAATGTATTGTATAAATTTCACCAAAATAAGAAATATGTGCAAATCCACGACATCCCGTGTTATACTTTGCTTGCCATTACAAAAATTGCATCATTTTTAACATATGCCCCGTTTCGCAAAACGCCTTGAGAAACAAAATCAGGGCAGCCAATTCCTTCACCTCTTTCGCTTAAAGGCCGAGGACATTCTTGTCTGCCCAAGTCAATAACAGTCGATATGTTTTTCTTTTTATCCTGACTACGGTTTGGATCAATCATTGTCAGTCGTATTTTCTCCTTGCACGGCCACGATAACAAGGAATCAAATTCACCAGGAACAACTTTAACAAAGAGCGACAGCCAAAGTCCCTTAAATGAACTATCTGTAACATGAGTTGACGCAGCTTCACCTCCATTGGGCATCATTTTGATTTGATATCGATACCCGTTTTTAGTCAAATAAAACGGTTCACTAAGAATGACTTCTTGTTTTCCTGAACGCGCTCTCTCACAAACAGCTTGAAAATTAGATATTTTCCATACAAAGAGTGAGCATTCAGTTGCTTTCTTCCGCTTAAGCACTGGCTGAGACTGATCCCTGTCTTTTGACACGCCTTTTTCCAGTCTTTCTATCTTCTTTGACTGATCCTTCACCATACCAACCAGAGAACGAACTCGATGGCGCGTGGCTTCGAGACCTCGAAGAGCTATGTTGAGATGAAATTCAACGTTAGATTCCAAGTGCGACTGGGTATTTGATCGAGGAAACTGCAAAAAAAGAATAATGGGCTAAATTGTAACACTCAGAAGTGATAAATATGTAGTTTTTCTAAACAACATCAAAAACTTTTAGGAAGCAAGCAATAAGATTATAGAAACTTATCATCTGGAAGGTGCATTATCTCATAAAACATGATGATAATTACATACCTTTGCTTCACATCCTAAAAGCTTGAATTCACAATAAACCTCAGTGTTCGGACATTCGTCTTGAATATGAACCTCCAACTGGAAATAAAAGAGATATATACAAAGGAATGAAATGTAATCATGTTAATCAGAGAAATCCAATGACAAGTCCTAGACATGATCCGTGTGTCAGTCACTGAGAGAAAGTATCTCTATTGGAACAACTTCCAAGTTTACATGTTTCTCTTAAAGATAGCAATTGCAATTAATTTTTGCCACAGCGCAAAAAATAGTGGATAGCCTGTAGTGGATGGAAGGGGGAGGTGCAAAAAACAGCAAACCTTCTCTCGTGGGATATCAGTAAATCCGCAATGGTTGGTGCATTGAACAGGAAACTTCTTGCAAACATCAAAATGTTCCTGGTGAATGAAAATAAGAAACACAATGATATGTAGATTTACAACTAGGCCAGCGTGTTCCAGGCGTCCAATTATCTAAACGGAGCGAAATAGTACATTAGTAAAACCAGAGGAGTAAAAAAGTGAGGGAAGTTTGGGTCGGGTAGGGTTCCCGCGACCCGACCCAAGCTTCTCTCATTTTTAACTCTTCCACTATGGCGCTGTTTCTGTCGTCGCGATTCGTAATACTAATTGCATGTCGCGAACAAGCTACTAATAGGCGTGAAAAACTGAGATGAAAAAAAGAAAAAGGAAATGTGAAAAAGCTCGATGAAATTTGAAAAAAAAATTAAAATTTTCAACCATGATCTTAACTTTGCAAGATGTTTATAAGGTTCCACAAAGCTAAAAAAACTGACCCAGTGATATTGATCAAATTCCTGCTAGCTTTTATCGTTGAAAGAGTGACAGAAAATTCTTTCCAGAAGAAGCAGAACATTCTTCTGGTACTTTCAAGCTAACAGTGTTTGCACTGGGAGATGGATATTCAGGATTCAAACCGCATTTCAATTTCTTTAATTTCGTGTTTTACTTTCATACCTGCCTCTGATTCTTGATAAATGTTTCTCCGCAATATTTGCAATCCATTTTCCTCCAAGAACAATCAAATGCCGCGTGTGTTGTCATGTCTTGTTTAGTAAAATTTTCTGTGCATCCTGAGTTTGGACATCGTACGACTTTCAACAAGCATTCTGACTGATGTTTCTGCAGCAAATTGAAATAACGCTTGCTGAGCTTGAGCTTAAAAACCGGTAAAATATTCGGCAATAACAACGCAATATGCAAGTAATATCATGCCGCATTCTGTGACAAGAAATTACCTAATATGCCCTATAGTAGAACTTTTCAGTTGGCCTCTTGGCTGCCAAATCATGCGAATGAGGTGGGGGGTGGGAGGGGAGGGCTTGCTTAAAGTTTGGATGCTGTTTTGTTTAGAAAAGTGACGGAGGAAAAAAAGCAAAAGGTTTCAGTCTAAAGCTTACCGGCAATCTCCGTAATACAATTAGAAAACCCTGTTTTCATAGCTTTGTACAAAGCCAGCTTTTGATGAGGCCACTACTTGAGCCAGCGAATGGCTTAAATGTACCGAGGGTCCAAAAGTTTTTCCCATTCACCATAACACTCTTACTGATAAATAACCCGCAACTTTACCTCCTCTGCCCGCTGGTCTCCTATCCAAGGACATCCCACATTGGAACACTTCATAGAACGATTTGGTATAATCTAAGAGTTGAAGACAAATGATGTATAACTAACGAGGTTAGCCAACTCACACCAAAAGACAAATACAGTAACAAGTCTGCTTTACGTTTATGTAGCGTTTTATCTTTTTCAGTTTTCAGTTAACTAATCAGTGTTTTATTTTGCCAACTCGAAACAGTGTTTCTAGTCAAAGATAAAATGCAGCAAAACAAGCAAACAAACAAAAAAAAAACTAAGACTACGCTTTTAAGGCTTTGAAATTCAAATGTGCACAAAATTAATGCTACTGATGAAAAAAAAAAAAACAAAAGGCTTGAATTCCTTTCAATGAAAGCGAAAATTATATTCACATTAGAAATTCAGGAGTTCTCGTGACAACGTGACTTTACTTAAGAGCGTGACTAGATAAATACCCTCTCACTTGACAATGGCTGTCGATCAGCTGGGCATGTCGGCAACGTCCGCCTGAACAAATAGAATTTACATATCACAAGTAAATATTTATCCGCCCGTTGTATTGTTTCATGTAAAGGAAGACAAATGCTTCGATATTGCTCTTCTGTTTCCTGCTGATCATGTTGAAGAGAAACCCTTGAAATACTATATACAACACGCAGTGTTAAAAGGCTCTCGAAAATGAAAACACAGGATTTGCGAAGAGCGAACCTGTTGATCATTAAAAGCGACATACTTATGCGAATACATGTTGTTATTCTTCTTCATAGTTCGCATTTTTAAGTTAGGACGATTTCATGAACTGACCACGTAATATCATGGCAATCAAATGCTCTTGTTAAACCATACTGTCTTACTGGGTTGTTCATGCACAACGCAGGCAAATATCGCCCATCTCAGCTATTCCATTTGATCATATTAGTTATACGGGTGGCAAAATCGTTTGATTATTTATGGCGTTCATTGCGCGCCTACCTCGATAAGGATTCCATACAGGTTTTACAAAATCTGTGTTCACAACTGACATTCTGCACCAAAGCCTTCATTTTCAAATGACACACAGTACATTTTCCGTCCATAGAAGCTCTGTTTGAGAACTCGTATTCATACCCGCTGAGATTTGCTGCGATTTCGCACTCTCTCACTGATGTCCCTCTCGTTCTCTTCTTTCGGACCGGAAGTCTTCGAACATGCGTGATCAAACGTTCCATTTCTTCTGTTACCCCACGCCAATCAACATCTGAAAAACTAGACATCGCGTGACTCGTTAGGGTCTTAGCCCTTCTTTTCGGGTGAAAAGTTTCGATTCTGGAAAAGAGAAGATACTCTTGGCGAAGAACGAGTGCCATAAAATTGATTCAGTCCATCATCAAAATATCGAAAATCGAAAATCCTTTTTTAAACGGTAAGGGAAATAAGATACAAGTTTAATCATTATTATGAGAACTACATTACCTGCGGTAAACGACCTTAACGAATAGTTTTCGAGGAGAAGTAAAACGTGGTGATCGTGAATTTAACCAGCGACCGGCTTACATGTAATCCCCAAGGCGATAAAATATTGCGCCGTGGACTTCTGTCACGCAAGGAACCGTCACGTAGAAGGCTTTTCCATACTGACGAATCACGTGTTAAATCTTGCCGTTCATCTCTTCACCATCGCCTTTGAAGCAATCAGCGGAGAATTTTCTTCGTCTCCTTTCAGTTGGATCGTTGGCAATATTTCCATACAACCGTTTCCTATTCTAAACCACATAAAGGAAACCTTTGTTTTGTTTTTTCTTTTTACACAATTGTATGTACAATTATGTATGGGGTTAGACGGAAATCTTGCTTGATCAGTTCCGTTTCTTTAAGAATCAGACATGGTTTGATACTACTCTGGATTAGGGATTTAATGAATGTAACCGAGGAAGTTGCAATTCATCGACCCAACGATTCGACACTCCTGTCAAGTGCCAAGTTCACCAGAGGTGATCTAATCGTTGCAACAAAGATCCTTTCATATGCTCGCTAATTATACTCACAACCACTTTAAATTACTTCAAAACGATCCAGAGACAAGCACTATCTTTTCGCAGCCTCCGCTCATTTCATTCAAACGCGACAAAAACATAGGCAATTTTTTGGTCAGAAGTTCTTTTCAGACTAATGACCAACCAGGCACTTTTAAATGCGCTCGTGCACGATGCAAAACGTGTCCTTTCATTCACAACACTGATAAAATATCGGGACCTAAACGATCCATTAAGATCACCGATCACTTCACGTGCACCTCCGCCAATGTAATCTATTGCATAACTTGCACTTATTGCAAAAAGATATACATCGGCGAAACAGGCAGAAGACTAGGTGACCGATTCCGAGAACACCTTCGAGACGTGGAAAGGAATGACAAGGACACATCGAAACCAGTCGCTAGACATTTTAATTTACCTAATCATTCTAAGCAACATATGGCAATCTGCGGTCTTTCCTTGCACTTAGGTGACACGGAAAGCCGTAAAAATCTTGAACAAAAGCTCATCTTTCAAACCGGTAGTCTAAATCCCACAGGGATCAACGAACGCTTTTCATTCCACTAATTTATTCATGTTTTTCTCGTTGCCATGCTCCCACCAATAACGTAGCTCCATTTTCTGCCTTTAAAAGCACACACAACCCACAATTCCTCTATTCGCTCCGACGAAGGGCTAACGCTCGAAGCGTCAGCTTTTGTAATCATTGCGGTGGCCAATTTACCATTTCAACTTTGTTGATATATCCAAATTATTTCGTTACTCCCACCGACGCAGCCCCAAACAGTTTCTTTCGAAACTATCAGCCTTTGCTCACTAATTAGCTGCCCTTTTTTCTGACGAGTTGTAAGTAGGCGTCAGGTAGTAAGCTGCCATCATCACGATTTGAAGGAGCATGGGTGCAGTTGATATACCAAGCTTCCAAACAAAGGCCTTGGTGGTATCGTTGATTAGTGGTGATAATTTCGAATTATCCCACCCAATTGTATGGTTAGTTTGGCATGTGTGCTCCGACAAAGCTTAATTTTCTTTTTTACAAAAGAAGACCCCTAATGAGAAACGTTCCAGAGCTATGATGGTTTTTTTTTATTAAAGTAATTTCTTCTAGGAATCCCCTTGCTTTTATTTGGAAGTGATTTTGCAGTTGACTGCTCAGTTTTGGTGATTGATTTCCTAGGTACCAGTCCTTCTGTTATTCTCTATATTTAAAAAAAAGTCACGTTGTTTTCTGTTGGGTAGGCAGGGAGGGGAATAGTGGGAAAAGAACCATCCTTTCTATGTTTGTAGGAATATGTCCCTCTCACTTAATCTTAGAAGAGGTATATAAGCTAGATCTTAGCCACCATGGTATCAAATTGGGTATGTATGATTTCTTGGGAACCACCATGCTGTCCGGCATGTAAATCTGTTTGTCTTTTGAAGTGAAAGTGAAAAAAAAAAAGGATTAAGAGAAGGTACCAATATATATCCTTTGATCAGAATTTTTAAGTAAATCACCTTATAATTTTGCAAACTCCTAACTTCAGCAATGATGCATGAGGATTAGATAAACATGAATATTCAACCTACAAGTACAATGAATGTGCAAACAAGGTAACATTTTCAGAAAATTCATATGGATCATTGAGGCTTGGCCTATTAGGTTGAGTTGGGATATATGCAACTCTGCCAATATTTCTGCAGAGCTTTAACCCTTAATTTAACTAACATGAGTGACCAAGACAGAATTTCTCATTACTGTATCAACAGTATCAAGCAGACAAGTGATGGGAATTAAGAAATATATCAATTGGGGGATTGCTGGTTGATCTAATACCAGATTCTCCAAACTAATCATAAGAATCGTATTGCAGACAGTTGTAAGGAGAATTATGAATGAAATCTTGCGAGTGAAAGGGTTAGAGAAAGGTTTGTTGAAAGTAAATAAATAAGTCTTTGTAACCAACTTACTTCAGGTTTCAATCAGACCTGAGATTGCCGAATTGAGATTCTTCAACCAAGCAAATCAATGCAAAAGTGGACAAAAATTAAGTTCATTACTTTTGGCACAAACTGCTGCTTGCTGCTACCTTCCAAAAACACACCTAACTCCCTGACTCCTTGCAATTTCAAACAATTTGGATCAGTTGAATTTTATTTCCACTGTGACAGTAAAAATATCTGGCCACTGAGGTGATATACAATTTGATTTGGTGGCACAAACAGGTTTGTGCACCCATGAAAACTTTTAGTTTCACCTCATCTGTCATTGCTTAATTTTTTTCTTTTTAGCCTAGGACATGTAACAAAAATGGGGTGTGAACAAATCCTTGTTAGGTGTATAGAAAGGGCAAGGAAAGAAGCATGTTTGCAAAAATAATTCAGACACAGTGTATTGGCCTCAGCGGAGCTTTTGCAGCATGATTCCACCTACATCAATTGCTTTGTACTGATCAGACATGCATAGACAGATGAACCTGAAAAGATATTTAATTTTTTTAACAAAACACTAACATTTGTCTTGCTTATTAATCTTATTAACCCCTCTTTGCCACTCCTCCCTTCTCCCCAAAGTGTTTTTGGGGGAGGGCATACTAGAAGCTGTTCGGATTATTGTTTGTCATTAAATTACAAAGGAACAATTGAAATTTTAATTATCAGAAAATCACAATTCAGGTAGCTCCCTTTAAAGTGCTACATCACCCTATAAATGTACTGTGGATTTATTTTTTCTTCGGTTAGATATTTGAAAATTAGAGAAAAGGTTCAACCAAAGCAAAGATACAGATAAGCTTAAGGTGCCCCACTGCACCTATCCTCCTCTTTTTGAAAAAGAACAATTACGGTCTAATTGGCACCTTGGAAATAGCCTGTCAAGTTGTACTGGGAGACAATTCGTACGCATACTCTTTGCACACATTTAACAATTATTCGCCGAAGGCGAGGTGAATATCGTCGAATAATCCCCGAATCGAAGTCGAGGGGATTATTCGACAATATTCACCGAACCTGAAGCGAATAATTGTTTTAGTATAATTTCAGAGCTGAACAACAGAGAAATTTCTAAAATCATAACATTTTTTTAGTAACATTTATTAACATTTTATTTTAACATTTTATATAAACCGCGTGGAGCGGGTTATATAGCGTCATATAAGGAACCGCTCGACCAATCAGATTGCTGGAAACTCTTTGCTCAGCTCTGAAATTATACTACGTGTTTATCCATGTTGGAAATGTTCACACTTTGTAGTCACTAGATTTAGCCCGAGGGAGTTTGTACGATTTCATACAAATAATTATAACTGCTTTTTAAGTACCGATTGACTTAATGCGTATTACTGATTGTAACTGCTTTAAGGATCCGTAACAGTAGACAATCGAAAATTTCTAGGAAATGTAAAAACTTTAACTTTACAGCTCAAGCAGGCATCTTTATGGCATTTGAAAAAAACAGAAAGGCAAATTACATACAGGCCAGAAACTGATCTAGTGATGATCACATTACTGTTACAAGTTTGATCATCGTTAGTTTGCTATTGGAGCAGATTGCGAGTCGGAATAAGGTACATACAAATGTGTACATGTATACAATAGAGTAGTTCTGTAATTAAACTTGTCCAAACGGAGTTCGAGATTTACATTATAATTGACAGACCGTCCTTTTTCCACTCGGATTTTCCGAGAAAAAAAAAGAAACAGGCAATAAAAGATATATACTACATGTCTGGGTTCAAATAGGGAGGAAAGGTTCCAATTCAAACAAAATTTTAAATTTAGCGGGCTGTAGCGGGCTGTTTACCGCCGCTAAATTGACCAATCATAGGGCACGTACTAACTGAGAAATGTACTGAATAAGAGGGTCCCAATAGGGTAGACCGTTAGCCGTAAAACGGCCAAAAAATTTAGTTATTAGGCTTAGTGTAAAAAAATTTTCTTGTAACAACAATGGAAAGATATTAACCAATTTAGCCGTCAATTTGCCAAAATTTTAACCGTTAGCCTTAAAATCCATCACCCCATTGCGACCCCTCAATAAAAAATGATAAGATATGAATTGATATTTATAATTTAAATCTATAATTATCGGCCCTAATGCTTGATGTGTAAGGCTGTCCAGATAAGTTTTGCACCAGAGCAGGTTGTTTTAAGGATGGCAATCCAGGACGCTTAAGATCCAACTGTTCCCCCATGACATTATATGCATTAGACCGGTATCGAGACGAATCAAGAGAATATAAACTGTATAGTCTCTTGGGCGAATACATAATGAAAAATTCCTGGTGTAGTTGTTAGGAAAGGGTCTAGACTCCCCGCCAGACCTATTGGGCAGGCAAGGTTATGCTTTAAAGTTAACAGGAAGAAAAACAATTAGAGCCCGCCCCCTTCAATGAATAATGCCTGCATTTGCCCCAAAATCCGGATATTTTCCCTCTTATGCTTCGCCAAAAGTATATTTCCTTAATAGGAGGATTACAGGTACAAGTTTCAAACTAGAAGCATTCTGTGGAAGTTTGGCTTAAAACAATGAGTACGGAAAATTTCCCCGTAGTTTTGACAGTTAGTCGCAGTCTCTTATTAGACTCTTTACAACTGTCTAGATCAGTTTAAAAGTCAAGGGGTCATGAATAATTGCGCGTACTATTACAGATAACGCCATTTCCTACCAATTGCTTTTTTCACCCTAAATCTGTAACCTCGCTCTATTTCAACAGCAGTTCGTTGATTTTCCATTAGAAGTCATTTGAAGGGCCACTCAAAAGCCTGTCAAGTTAGTCATAATTTGTATATTTGATCAAAACGATCTCGAGGCACCTAAACAAATCGTCGCGAATAGAGAGAGATACGGGAAGAACATTCCGCAGTGGTTCATACAGCGTGTAATTTCACTATTTCCGAATCAACGGCGATGTCGAGTTACGACTATGTCTTTCTTGCTGAGGTTCCTGATGAATACACTTGCCCGATATGTAGCAACCCGATGAAAGAACCTGTCCAAACGAAATGTGGCCATCGCTTTTGCCGACTGTGCTTGGAGAAGTCCATGGAAAGGTAACAACTCATAGCTAGGATTTGTATCGAGAAGATAAATCCTGATGTCTGACATTTTTGTGTGCGTAAATTAATAGGACCACATTGGTCGGTTATGCAGACACTCATAGAATTTAACAAGTTATATTTTTGGCCCAATGAATTGCGTTGTACCAATTTCATTATCCATTTTGAATCAATGTGCAAAAGAAGACAACGATTGTACAAGCTGGAGGTTGGATTAAAAGATTAAAATAGGAATGTATGAAACAGTACCCGGCCGAGGTCATCATCCGAGGCCGGGTGAAACTGGCTAACTTGAGACACCCATAAATAATCACATCCCAACTCTCTGGGAGAATCTTTCGGCTGGCTCTGCCACACACTTAAATAGCCGGTCATAGATTAAATGAGCTAAGTCGAAGAAAACGCCATAAAACTCACTTAGTCAGAAGCTTAACCGAGGAGAAGTGATTTGTCTTGTGGGGAATTAGTGAGGAGCCCAAACTGTCACTATTCTCTCCCAGAATTTACTTCTCAAAAAAGCAGGCAGAACAACGATACGCGAAGTCTCTGACCGCGGACTGAAAACTACTCACAATGATTTTCTTATCTCATGAACATAATTTGATCAAAACGTAAGTTGATTGGCTATAAAGTTCTTCCCAACAAAGATAAACAAACTGATTTATCGGAGCGGACAGATCGTGACACTCGATTTCCGGCGGATAATTTTGAATCGTTACAATACTAATTATCCTGTTTCCGACAATTTTGTTTGGAGCATAAAATTGGATCATTGTAAAGATTGATCTCCAGTGGGGCCCAACGTAACCAATCTCCAGAATAAAACTAAATTAATAGCTGGCTGGAAAATTTCGAACAACACAAACGCCGGTGGGACGCTATTTCTCGCGGCGGAAGTGTAATGGGAGTTTTGCAAAACAAAACCTGTAGCAGGCAAAAGAGAACTTTCAGGTTCCCGTATCAATTAAAAAAATGTCGGCCTACTTCTCTGATTGGGATTACCCAACTCTGGAGTGTCATTCGTCAGTAGCATGAAACACAATTAAAAGCCTTTCAAAATTACTGATAAAGCTCGTCTTACTTACTGTTTAAAAACTAGCGGAAGAAGAGTCCTTTAAAGCGGTTGAAGACGCTGTTCGTAGTAAATGAGGTGTTAATTTTCATAACAAGCATGATGTATCAATAATTTACCCGACTTTATTAGACGCCGAAATTCAGTCATGTAGCCAAAAATAGATACATGGGATTTTTTTCTACTATCGTCGAAAATATATCGCTGCGGCGAAACTGCTACAACGATACACTGAACAATTTTTCATTAAATTCCACCAAACGGTTCTTGATATTTTGCTCGATAAACAAGCTCAACGGTGCTGAAACGACATTCAGTATCATGCCCAACTTCCCATACAATTTTACTTTCGGTTGAAGTCTCTAAGATTGCAATGAGTTATGTCAGTTGGACCTCGAAAATAGAACTGGTATTTGAATTAGACAAGAGATATAAAAAAGAGAGAAGAGAGAGAAAACACTACCTATAAGTGAGCATCTTGTCTGAAACATGTAAGTCTAACAACCTTCGTATTTTTGTAGGATGCAAGAATGTCCTATAGACAGAGGAGACCTCGATGCAGACACCCCAACAGTAAGTCAATGTCAGCCAATGTCCAATGTCAGCCAGTAGAAATCTAAGAGTAAATATGATGGGGGGCAGTGGGAGTGAGTCACCACCATAACTCCAAAGACAAACCCCAGTGGTGGATGTTAGAGAAGGGTCCGTAGTTTTCTCAGTCAAAGTCAAAATCTCTAGCTCCTTCCTTGAACCCATTCAAATGGAATGTTCATAAAAAGGCAGAATTTTAAGATATCTGTTCACCAGTTTAGTGAAATCAACCTATGTGTGAGCCATGACGCTCTTTGATTTAAGTCTGGCTTTCACTGGCGACAAAAGCGGAGACGGAGTCGTAAGAGCGTTTTCAAAAAAAATGCAACCTAGGGAAAATCGAAAATCGGAGTCGTGAGGGGAGTCATAAGCTCAACCGAATCGGAATGGGAAGAACCGAGTCCGCTTCTGACTCCAACACCTGTGATCCAGTGAAAACTAGATTGCCGGAGTCCCAAGAAGAAGCGGAAGAACTCCCCAATTTCAATGCCAGTTCTCAGGCCCTCCGCGGGCAGCCTTCCGATTTTGACTCCCATAATCGGCTGAGTTTTCACCAGATCGTAAGCGACGGAGTCGTAAGCGGCATCCAAATTTTTCTTCCGATTTCGTTGGCAAAGTCTTGCAAACAAACTGATATTCGTTTTAAATTTGAATCGTAAATCTTACTTTGTTAGAACTCCCAGAGGCTTTTTTCTCTAGATTGAGAGTAATAAGTAATGAATTATCCTTTTTTTTCCTTGGGGACAAGAAATCCTGTTACTTCTAATCGTCCCTCAAGACTCTTAAGTCGTCCTTCAACGCATACACACGCAAATAACTCTCGATACCGTCATTTAACGATGACCGTTAAAAAGGAATCTTATGGCGAGATTGGTTTCTACCTAGGAGTCCTGATTTGTTGTAGATTAAGGGTCCAATAAAAACAGGAATGTAGGTAAAGTAGGGTTATACTGAAGTTGAACTTTATGTCTCGCTTTAAAACAGGACATATTTCCCGATAAAGCGAGTGAAAGAAAAATTTTGGATTTCGAAGTGAAGTGTCCGAATGAAATCGATGGCTGCCAGTGGACTGGCGAACTGAGAAATGTTGAGGTATGTGTTTCGATAACGCATAAAATTACCAACAATTTAAAAGAACAAAACGAAGTGCAACTAGTAAACATGATATTTTTGATAAAAGTCATGTTTTGCGCCACCAATTACTGAATAATTGATTCAGTGTTGTGTCAATCAGAACATCAATCAGCAGATGTCGAATTAAAGTTGAGTGTGCATTCATGTGTAGTGTTGGCTGTCACAAATGGGAACTGTTCGTAGAAACAATAGTTAAACATTTACCTTGCTTTTTCTAGCTGAAAGCGGTTTGGTAAATTGCTTTTCGTTGTAAGGTAGGAGACTTACAAGGCGTTCTAAGTTAAAAGTTAGGGTACAAACTTAGCTTAGAATTAATCAGTTATCCAACAACAAGTATTTATAAGATTAAATTGATATTAAATAATTTATTTGATTTTTGTCCTAGGCGCATGAAGCAAGCTGTGATTTTGTGAAAGTGAAATGTGGCAACGTTAACTGTTCTGCAATTGTTTTACGGTGGGATCTTCAACATCATAAAAGTGAGCTTTGTCCAAGGAGGACAGTCTCATGTATTTATTGTGGAGCGGTCTATGTTTGGTGTCTAGAAGAGGTATTTTGTTCCCTGTTTCTTATCATGTTCCTGATTTTGATATGGTTGTGGAACACATTCGCTGTTTGTCCCAGGTTGGCAGGTGCGGTGCCCTGTACACATCACGCCAAGGAGAGGGGGAAAAGGATGGGGTCGGGAGGTGGAGAAGGGAGAGATCTTCCTCTCGGGCCTTCCTTCCGCTCCCCTTCTCCCTGTTTCTGCTTGCGACACAGGCGATGTTAGCTTTAAATATACAGCTTTATTCTCACAGACAGCCCTACCCTCCAAACCGGTCAGGATGGAATAAATCTTATAGAAGGGAGCTTTTTAAAATGCTCTTCAAAGTGGATGAATTTTCCCGGACTCACAAAACTCGCGACATCACCGTCTACTTGATGTTCAACTACTTGAATTTTCCCACGACACAGAACAACTGTTTCTTTAGAAACTGATAACCTGTGTATTTCATTGTTTGCATAACTCAACATATTTTGAAAACAAAACTTTACAGGAAACCCTTTATCCACTGATTGTCTGTCGTTATTCTAAGGTTTTTTTTTTTCGTGTTTCGACGGTAATGTCAGGGCTGATTTATCGAACTATGTTCACATTCCGTAGCTGTAAGCTAGATTTCTACACTCTTAAATTAATGTTCTTTGATTAAACTGGTATGATGTACGACGTTTTCCACTGTACCATTGTGAAGACCATTTACGTCTCACCATGTGTGTTATCCGCAGGAGCACTTCGACACCTGCCAAAATTTTCCCTGCTGTTGCCCACAGAGATGCGGAGTAAGGGACGTTCCAAGGAGCGAGGTATCGGCGTTTGCTCTTCATTCTACATCATGCCTAACTCAAAAGGGGAAGTTGCATGCTTCTCATTGGATAAGCACTTCGTTTGTGGTTATGGCTGAACAGCTCATTTCATCTTTCACTTAATTCTTTAGTTTTGAGAATCTACCATCCTATATAGCCATGTGTGAAGAAGTTCATGCATTCATTTTCCGTCACTTTGAATTTAGTTTAAAGGTACAGCTTCCCTTAGTCTGGGTGATTGCTTATCTGAGGTATCGTGCACTCTAAAAGTCATATTTCCAACTCTTACACTGATTTAACTTTAGATGGAGACTCACCTTGAGTTAGAGTGTGGCCATACTGAAGTGGACTGCAAGTATAGACACATTGGATGTCAAGTCAAGGTAAGTATCTGAGTTTAGCGAGTGTGAATTCACGTTGACTTTTGTGGTCTTTTGTTGTTTTATGTGTGACCCAAAGGAAATCCTTCCCCACGTCAAGCTATTTGGACCTCCCTCTTTCCCACCCAAAATGCAGCCATTTCAAAACTTTCGAAAATATGGGCCACAATTGGGTGCATATTTAAAATGATAATTTTGATTACCTTTTTTTTCCCCTCAATATACTAAGATTCAAAGGAATGGCCTACACCAACATTTACAAGCCAATGTCGAAGTCCATTTAAACTTGGCTTGTGAGAGGTTACAAATGCTTGAGAATGAAACCATGATCGGACAAAAAGAACTGGAGGGTTTAGTTACCACACATTCACAACTAAGAGAACTCGATGCTGCGATGAATGATGTTTTGCAAAGAATGAACAATATAGAGAGATCAATGAAAACGGTGACATCCAAACTGCAAAGCAAACCAAGCAACGAGTTGACACTCTTTGAGGCGCGAATAACTGGCAACGAACGGAAAGGGGAACTGCGTGATGAAATGATGGAAAATTATCGTAGAAAGCAAAACAATTTACAAAGCGAAATCGAAGCAATAAGGCAAAGGATACATGAGCTACCAACCAAGGGGTCAGCCAGCACTGACAGGAGGCTACAAGCTGGTGCTTTAAGTAAAAGCACCTTGCCTCTTCCAACATCAGTGACCCCTTGGGCGCTTCCTCTCCCTAGACCAGCAGGCGTTCCTCAAAATCAAAGGAGAATTTCTGGAGTCGACCAGCTTGCAGAAATGACGGACGATGATCGCTTCGCCTCTACTACAAGCGAAACACAAGGTTCATCTCGAGAGCTCCCAAATAACAGGCATGTCGGCAATAAGTTTGTCTGGAAATTTACCCAATTTAATGATTGCCTTCAAAAAGCTAAAGATGGATCAAATACTTATTATTATAGTGAACCATTCCTCACTGGTCCTTACGGATACAAAATGCGCGTGGAACTGCATCCCAATGGACTCAGTGACGGATTGAACACTCACCTGTCGATTTTTGTTCGTTTAATGAAAAGTGAATACGATGGTATTTTGCCCTGGCCATTTGACAAGAAGGTTACAATTGCTCTTATTGATCAGCAACCTTGTCCAAAATTGAGACGAAATATTCAGATGTGTAGTTTTCCAAGGAGCAGTGGGCATTTGAGTCCTTGCTACTCAAGGCCGGTTGAGGAAAGAGCTCAGAATGTAGCATTCGGATTTTGCAAATTTGTTACTCAAGAGCGGCTTAAGACTGGACGCTACCTCGTAAACGACACACTATTTTTCTGTGTGGAAGTAGAAGCTCTAAAACCCTTATTTTGATATGTATTCCTGTCTTAGAAAAAGAAACTGGATTAGATAAAAAAAAAAAATGAGACGAAACTGAATAAATTACCACACTGTTAGTATTCAGGTCGATAAAACGTGTCAGACAATGAAAATGATCTTTCACTTTTCATATCAAAGGATATCGTTAAGTTATTTTGTAGTGACTGTGACGTGTGTGACTTAAACAATAAATCGAAGTTGTTATAAACGATAGCAAAAAAGAAAGAAAAGCGATTTATTTACCGCCTCCCAGTTGGCTCTATGGATAGAGCGCTGGACTGTTGAGCGGGAGGTCGAGGGTTCGAGCCCCGGCCGGACCAACACTCAAGGTCTTAAAACAAGTTAGAAGAATATGCTACCTTTCTATATCAAGAAATGGTTAGATACTCTAGTCTTCTCGGATAGGGACGAATAAATGGAGGTCCAGTCTCCTGCAGGGTTAGGGGTAGGAGACGTTAATTTCCCATGCACGAGATTACTGTGTGATGGATGTCCTCCCCTGGGGTGGTTGCTGGGTGGGAATTGGCCCTGAAAAGCCCCCGTGGGGAGTGGTCAATTAACGTGTGTATGTGTATGTATGTGTATGTATATGTGTATGTGTGTGTATGTGTATGTATGTGTATGTATGTGTATGTGTATGTGTATGTATGTGTATGTGTATGTGTATGTATGTGTATGTATTTCAGTTCCATTACTTAATTTTACTTGCATTCAGTTGATTGTTACTTTGAAGTGTCTCTTGAACGACTTATAGGTTAAAGACAGTTTGTACGATGAAGAATATTGAAGTTTGCTCTTCAGTGTTGTAATATTGTCCAAAATGAATGATTACAGAACTGTAGACAGTACGCATCATCTGACGAGTCAGTCCACTTCCCAAGGTTAAGTTTAATCAGGCAATAAACTCCCGCAATGATGACGATAGCGGTTGACAAATTGAGATTAGATTATATTTTGAAATACACTCAAATTGTAAGCGAAAGGAAGCAGTATTTCCACTTCTATTTTGGAGTGAATCGTCGGCATAATTACCTCGATAAATAAAGATTGATAAATAAAGATTGATGAGATTGCCAACACTATATGGCTCTATTGTTTGAATGCACCTTCTCATTAGTCGATGGTGTGGTTAGATATGGGTCAGAGAATATAAACTGTTTACAATTTCTTGCTATGAGTGTCAGTCAAGGTGGTGATGTTTCAGATTCGCGCTCGTAACTGGGAGATATTTCAAAGAAGCAATAGCGAGGCCTTTTTTTCGTAATTTCACCCTTGCGCACGTGTGTTTCCAGGAATGAGTTACAACCTTGTCAAGACATTCAAGGAGTCCACCGTTTTTGATTTTCAAATTGTTTCCTCATCTTCATTCTCTTGAAAATGGTTTCTTTTCTGTTGATCGACCACTACAATTTGCAAGCTCAACTAAATATTACCAGGATATTAACAAAAGCTGTCCCCAATGCCCAAGGAAAATGTCTCTCTAAAACAAAGCATGAAAATCTCTTATTTTCTCCCAAATGAAAACTGCAAATACAGGGAACATGCGTGGTCACCATGCGTGGTCACCATGCGTGGTCACCATGAGTGGTTACTATGCGTGTTTTCGCTAATTTAGGCAAGTTGGGCTCTGTCGTACACAACACAACACAACACCTTCATTTGCTGATTCTAGCTAGGAGCGTCATATCGACGTCTGGATTTGACTACGAGTTCGTTGCTAAAGTATGTGAGGACAAGTGCAGACGAAATGCGGCCATAGGATTTGAAAGTGATGTCTAAAAAAGGCGGTGAAAAGGTAACAAAAATCTTAGTTGCATGTGGACAATTAAGCTGAAAGCCTCGCTATTCTCTCAAATATGAAATATGCAACTAGCCGACGGTTGTTTTCTCTTTGGCCTGAAATTTCTCAATCAGCCACTCTTTAACTGATTAACCCTTTTACGCCTTGGAGTGACCAGCATCTAATTTCTCTTTACAGTATAACCCCCCAGCCCCTCCCGAATCAAACATTAAGGTCATAATACACCGTGGCATTGTGCATATTTTGACGACAACTTAGATGATAACTGGCAAGCGTGGCTGGATTTATTCTTTGCGGCAGTGGATCAGTGTATTCCGAAGCGGAGACACAACAACAAATTTAATCCTGCCTGGATTTCAGAGGAACTCATTAAGCTCTGTCGAAAGAAAAGACATCTTTTCAGGAAGGTAAAGCGAGTAAACACAGATTTCTTGTGGATGAGATATCGCACTTTAAACAACTCTGTTAAGAAAGAGTGTAAAGCAGCGAAGCAGAACTATATTAATGACCTGGCTGATGAGCTTGCTACTAACAACAATCCCAAGCCGTTTTGAAGCTTTGTGAAATCTATGCGTAAATTAAGGGTCTAACAATCTCGTCTCACTTAATATCGACGGCGTCACTCTCTCGAATGATCTTGGCATTGCTGAAAGTATGAATGACTTTTTCTCCTCTGTGTTTACATCAGAACACTGCGATAACTTCCCCGAATTTGAATATGTCACCAATAGTAAACTTTCAAACATTCTTTGTAACACAGTGGAGGTAGAAAAGCTGTTAAAAAATCTGAAAATCTACAATCGTCTAGACCTGACAGCCCAACACCACGTATTTTGAAAGAATGTGCGAGTGTTTTATCATCACCTCTGTGCCTTTTCTTTAACAGATCGTTTTCAACATGTAAACTGCCACATCTTTGGAAACTTGCTAACATCACACCTTTGTTCAAAAAAGGCAGTAAGACTCACAGGGATAGTTATCGTCAGGTCTCATTAACATCAATAGTGTGCAAGGTCGCGGAAAAAATCGTCAAGTCTCGCGTGATGGATTTTTGGCGAAATATAAATATCATCAATCCGAACCAGTTCGCTTACATGGAGGGCCGATCAACGCTTTCAGAGCTGCTCTCTTGTTATGACGCCTGGGCGAAATCACGCAATAACAAGAAGCCCACTGGCATTGCCTTTTTGGATTTTTCCAAGGCGTTTGACAGCGTACCGCATGAGCGTCTCCTTTTCAAACTTGAGCGTCACGGTATCGACGGCAGCACTCTTCAGTGGTTTCGAAATTTTTTTACTGGCCGGATGCAACGCGTCGTCCTGCGCGGCACTTGCTCGTCCTGGTCTCCAGTTTTATCAGGAGTAAACCAGGGAACAATCCTTGGTCCCGTCTTATTCATTTTATATGTAAATGACATTTCATCAGGAATTTCATCTACTGTTAAACTGTATGCAGATGACACCATGCTTTACAGACATAGCTAGAGACACAAACATTCTTCAGTCCCGACCTATTTCACCTGAAGAAGTACGTGGTCTGAGGTCTAGCAGTTAAACTTCAATGTGAACAAATGTGAGGTTATGCGAGTAACACATAACCGTGATAAATTTGTCCCACACCACTCTCTCGTCCCGCACAGAGAATGTCTAGGCTCAGTGAGTTCTGTAAAAGACCTTGGCATTACAATCTCGCATGACCTCTCGTTGACTCCACTCGTTGTTGAGGTTGTCAATAAGGCCAATAAAGTTCTTGGTCTAATCAAGCAAACAATCGGTTCTGTAAACAAGGAAATCTTTTCCACATTGTACAAGACTCTTGTGAGACCAATCCTAGAGTACGCTTCCCCAGTATGGTGCCCTTACCTAGTTAAAAATATTTTCTCTTGGAGAAAGTTCAGAGAAAAGCCTCTCGATTGGCGAAGGCGAAGGGGTTGAAGTTGACTGATAGAAGGCTATATTTTTCCTTGGTAGAATGCTATAAACTTGTATTCGGGCTGAATGGCCTTCATTTTTGTGATTTTTTGAAGTTTGCTTCAAACCGTACTAGGTCCAACCACAATTACAAACCGTAGGTTACTGGCAAAATGTAATTGTTATAAATATTATTTTTTTGTTAAAATCATTCGTGAATGGAATGACCTGCCCGCCGATGTCGATGAGATAGGTAACTAATAACACGTTTCAAAACAGCTCTTAAATTATACAGGCGTATTTCTTAGGTTTTTATCCGTCTTAGATTTTATTATAAGCATACATTTTTAAATTTTAATCCAGCTTAGATTTTATTATAAGCTAGCAAACATTTTGAAATTTTATTTCTTTGGAAGTTTATTTACATAGGGTTAACCTCTTAAACTTCCTTTTTAGGGTATTATTTGTGTTGTTTATTTTTTGATACCTTAAATAAAGTATGTATAATAATAATAAGAATGATGACAATGATCAACAACTACAGAAATTCTCAATCAAAAAGCAAATTCTCCTTGTTAACATCCTGGGAAGGCTATAGAGAACTGTATGGAGAATATGCATATACTAATTTTAGGGTGTGACAGGTTAATTAAGTTATTAACTTAATTTAATCATCAATCTGTACTGTGACAGATAATCAATAACAAACGCTGTTCAGTTCAACATGCATTGGCTTTATTTCCACATATCACACGTTTAATTACTCTCAGTGGACAACTCGAAATAGACTACAACCAAATCTTTGACTTGCAACAACACGTTTTCAACGAACAAGATATACCATAGCATAAAGTTACAACACTCAACAATGTTTGGGAAGGGGTGGCTGAGTTATGTGTCCAGTCTATTAGGAGCTTGTATAACTCTTCCACTGCAGGTTCAGGCCTGAACAAGGCCATAATACATTGTGTAGGATATTTTGCAAGAAATGCTCTGCCTGTAAAAATCCATGATAAATCCTTCCACAAGATCTTGCAGATCAAGCCACAACTTAATCATGTCATATGAAGGTCACTGTAAATCAAAAGGGATCAAGTCTGCTGAGAACACTAATATATTTCTTCTCCTACTATTATGTTCCCTTCATTCACAACATTTCAACAATTCTATGAAGTAAAGTAAATATTACATTTATTTGCAAAACATTTCTTAAGGAGCACGAAGGTTTTAAGCAATACAATCTTTGAAAGGATCCTTTTTCAGTTCTGTGGAATATTCTTGATTTTCCCTTATGGATCTCAGGGGGATACTTGAACAGATCTTGAAAAGATCTTGACATTGGGATCCTTTGAAGATCTTGATCAAATTCTAAAGGATCCTAGCAAAGATCTTCCCAAAATCTTGACAAGGATCCTTGTAGAATCCTGATAAAGTCCTTGAGAATCCTTTACAAAGATCTTAAAAAGATCATGAAGATTGATAGGCATATGTTTTGGCATGTAGGAACTTAAAGGATCCCTACAAAGAACTTTCCCAGGATTTTTAGTAGGATCTTTGTATTACATAGGATCCCTGAAGGATGTTTATCAAATCCTTGAAGATCTTAAGAAATGATTTTGAAAAGGAAGATCTTTGAAGATCTTTCACAACAGTGACTGATAATTTAAGGATGACCTTGTCTTTAATAATCTTTGCCAGGTCTTTGATAATCCTTAAAGATCCATCTATGAGATCCTTTTATTTTTTTTTTTTTTTTTTTTTTTTTTTTTTTTTTTTTTTTTTTTTTTTTTTTCATGTTTTGAACTAGGTCACCAACTACCTATTGCAGTAAATTTAAAATTGAACTTGGAAGTTAATTTTTAAATTTTCGTTTTATTTTGGTGTCTATATATGGGATCAAACAATTGACTGAGGAATTGGATGAATAAGCCCAGAAGAGTACACTTTACTACTTGGTCTCATCATTTACTCCTCACAAGATCTGAATCATAATTCTCCTTTTATGTGTTGCACATTTCCTTGTAAATTAGTTTCAAGAATTTGGCCTTAGATCAAGATTGCAACCTCTAACTGATAAGTTTGAGTATTCTCCTTAGCTAATTGTTGGATACTGTGTGGGAGAAGGGAGAAGTTACATGTTAATCACTTCTGGGAGTGAAAGGGTTAAGGGTGAATTTTATTATAGGGGGTCTCTTTCTTTTATTTATTTCAATCTTTCTTTTTTCAAAATTCATCATCGATCCCTTAATTCCACATGAAATATATGTGGATGTTGCCACTGAGAGGAACATTTAGGATTTCCAACATATGAAAATGCCTTAGCAATAAAATGGCTGTGAATGGACTGGAGAACTCAGAAATATAGGGGTTAGTCATGGTTTCTCCACCTAATTTGGCCAGATTGTAAAGTTTCATGATACAAAAGGATTTAATTATTCTATTATTTAAAATGCTTGATAGCCAAAGATACATTTAATTATTAATCTCAATCATTTTAATCTTTCCAGTTTTATTTGTGTGGGTGATGGGATGTCTGATCTTTTGATTAATTTTGCCTCGTCCACCTAACTCAGGTCACATGGTTAAAGAAAAATGCATAAAGCAAAAGGGAAAAAGGAAATAACCAAAATTAAATACATTAGGAATCAATCTACTAGTTCTAAAACATTTTTAATTATCATTTGAATGATTAAGGTACCTAATTATACTTTTTCCTGTGTTGTGGATTGTTTCTCTTAGTATAAAAATGTAGTCTCGAAGAAAAGCATTCATGCTTGGAAATTTGGATTTGCATGCTCTGAAAATTTTTTATTTTTTAATTTTCTGTTTTTCATTTCCACTGCTACCTTTTTCCAATTATGACAATCCTCTTGTAGTAAGGTCAATTTGCCAACTGTAATGCTTTCAAATAGAACAAATTTATTTCAGACTAGCTAGCATGACTGCTTATATGCATCCCTACCAATTTCTCACAAGTCAGAAAAAAAAAAATTGTGGCATATGCGGCTATCTGAGGTAATGGGAATTCTTTACAAAGATGTTTTATTTTGTTTTGCCTTTTTTCAGGCACATGAATCCCACTGCAGTTTTGTAGGGGTGAAATGCACTAACATTGGGAGGATTGTGAAGCTATTCCCTTGAAAAAAGATCTGAATAATATCATGCAACAAAAGAATGTCCAAAGAGGAATGTGGAGTGTTACTACTGTAAAATATTCTTTGTTTGGTGCAGTAAAAAGGTGATTATGCAGGGACTGAGTATTTTTTGTTTTGTTTTATTTACTTGTTTCTTTCAGTGAACTATTCTTTGTGGAACCATATGGATACAAAATGTGCCTTGATATTTGCCAAATGGACCTTCAAGAATTACAGGTAATACTCGCCTCTTTTTGTATGTGCACTTAGTGAGAGGGAGGAATGACGACCAACCACTGTGGCCTTTTCAGCAGAAAGTGGTGTTCACCTTAGTTGACCAACAAGATGATACTGAAAACGCCGGTTAGAAAAGCTTTCAAAAAATCAAAGAAGGGACTGGTTTTGATAGCTTCGTATCTCATCTGGACCTTAATAAAAGACGTTACGGTACATAGATAGAACGAATCATTTCGCATGTAGCCGAACATTTGAGGTTCCTTAATGTTTGCATCATCTGTTATCTATAATTGAAGAAACACACAGTAACATAAAATCGCTGTGTTTCAACTTAACTGATGATATGAATTCAATTCACTAGTAGAATAAAATAATTTAGGAAAGAGACAATGGTCATAACTATTTAGTTTTAATTCGTATAATATTTCATTACCACAATTCACGATGAATATGCCACTGTAAATGTGCCTTTTGAACCTTCTTTCATGAAACTGCACCGATGAAAAATTCAGGTACAGACATTACTGGCACAAAACGGATACTAGCTTTTTTTAATTAATCCTGGACTATACATCGTAGTCTCCAGGGAAAATTCTCGAGAACTTTCTATCTTTGTGTTCCACAAACGCGAACTTGATAAATATTGTGTCGTCTTTGATGTATGGACGCTTAAATAAATCCTTGTGATGCACGAATTCCCAAACACCACAAGCTTCTTCGGAAGCTTCTGATGGTCTTACAAGTCCATTAGGAGTCTGATGAGCTTCTTGACGTAAATGTCTTCTCTTTTCCATGGACTCATTTTGGTCAAGCAACGTGAACACAACCGTGTGGTTAAACGGCCATATTAAAAGTCCGTCATATTCCCCTACAAGAATTCTGAGGTAAATTGACATGAATTGTCCCTCACTGCCAGCATTATCATCGATATGGTAGCCATTTGGATATAGCTCCACCTGAAATTTGTACCCATTGCGATAAGAGTAGAACGGATCGCTAATTTTCACTGGGCTTTCAGTCACAACAGAGGTAAAGTTCGATATTTTCCATATAAAGGGAGAATTTTGAAAACGTTGTAACTTTCCTTCGAGACTTACGATCGTTTGAGCTTGTTCTTGGACTGTTTTCGACATGTCAACCAGTTTCTTGCAGGCCAAGTGTAGATGGGTGTCTTTAAATGCATCAAAATGAGCTTTGGAATCTCGTCTCTGAAACTGAAGAAAGTTGGCAAACAACTTTATAATTTACCTATTTACCGTGTTATGTAGGTATCGCTTACGGCCTTAATAAATTAGCAGATTTTGTAGACGAAATTATAGCATATTAATTTGGATATATCAACAAAGTTGAAATGGTAAATTGGCCACCGTAACGATTACAAAAGCTGACGTTTCGAGCGTTAGCCCCTCATCGGAGCGAAGTTTCGCTCCGACGAAGGGCTAACGCTCGAAACGCCAGCTTTTGTAACCGTTACGGTGGCCAATTTACCAGTTCAACTTTGTTGATATATCCAAATTATTTCGTTACCCCCACCGACGCAGCCCTAAACAGTTTCTTTCGAAACTATCAGCCTTTATAGCATATTACCTTGACTCGGCATCCTATGGCACTGTACTCACATTCTATCACAGTCAGAGGGCAAAGATTTTCAGTATGGTTACCGACCTGTATAACATATCAATCGACAAATCATATCCTTGATGAACGAAACTACATTGCTGAACGTATCGTTAAATTCTCAAGCCTAACCTGTAAGCAAATGTATAGGAAACAGTAAGGTCAAATCCAGTCTCAATACCTCTTCTCGCGGTATGTCCTTCACGCCACACTTGTTACTGCATTCAACGGGATAGCGTGGACAGACCTCACAGTGAGCCTACACCATAAAGGTAACATCAGTGTATGTGTTCTGCCTACTACACATCCATCACTATTGATTCTAAGAATGTGCTCGGTTCTCAGAAATGTGAATAATTTAAAAACAAAGCAATCCCAATTTAGCAAAGCGATTTATTCACAAGCCACTTTGTTTTTTAGCCACTAGATCAGTAATACTGGTTTCACAACGACTATTTATAACCTGCACTTGGGCGGTTCAGTGTGATTGTAAAATGGATTTAGTGAGGGGCAATTGAATTTACCATCGCGCAGTTTTGGTCTGTAATATACTTGTGATTTCAATTCGAATCAAAAGTATGATTTCAAATCGAACTGTATCAGTTCCTTTCAGTTCATTTACCATAAAATTTAAGTATTAAGCATCCTTGTAAATCACTAACCACTAACCTTTTTCTCCAGTTTCGGGAAACGATCGGGGCAGAACGCACACTGTATCACGGACCAGGGGCATGTGGTCTCTACGTGAGAAATGATATCCTTGCGAAGAATCTCTTCGCTGCATCCCTCGTTTAGACAAGGAACAGGCTGATAGGAACACAATTCCCCGTGTTTCTAAGGACAAAAGAATACCACAATAACACCTTCAAAGATAAGGCATCGCATGGATATCTCCAGTTGACTTTAGAGCCTCTCTATGAGGTGAGATGCAAAAGACGTTTCTCAAAACAAAGAAGTTTCGTTTCCATACGTGTATTTGGAGTCTTCTACGCAAAGCACTCCATTGCCTTTAGACTTTATAAGTAAAGTTTGCAATTGGTAGTCATTACATATATCTTATTAACCAAGCGCGAGGGCCGTACTGGGAGAATATCGGCCCGAGGTCTTGACAGTACGGACCGAGCTGCGCTCGGTCCGTACAAAAAAGACCGAGGGCCGATATTCTTCCAGTACGGTCCCGAGCAAGCTTGGTTAATAAGAGATTTATTATACGACTGAAGTTCAAAGGGACACAAGTGCGGTATCATTCGGGACCATTCGGGACAGTGCCCGGTCCAATACTGAGAGAATATTGACTGGCAATAGAGCATTTTGATTGGTTGATTTTAGTTATTGGCCCTCTGACTGCCCGTGTCGTGCAATAAAAGGTAGATAAGCAGAGCGAGGTTAGTAAATGATGTAGGAGATTTACACAGATTCTTATGCCCTATATACAAATGTTAAGTAACGCAAGAGGTACTGATTTAAGCATAGAAGCATTCCGAATTTGTTTCACTCTGTTACTTAGTAGAGGGAGCCTTGCCAATTTTGTGTCACGCTTCACACTTTGTACGACTAACGAGATTTCTTATTTTCATGAATACTAGGTCACGCAATCTTACGCAATTTTAGTCCTAACAAACTGATCAGACTAAAAATGTCTCTAACCATCCAGATCAATGCCCCACAGAGGGAGGACTCATTTGGAAACCACTTGAGAATATTGAAAGAAAAATATTGGAGAGGAATGAGGCTGAATAAATTTGGGCCATCAGGGAAAGAAAAGGGGTCTGAAAGTTTTATTTGCAATCATGATGCTCGGAAATCGTCCTTATTTGTGACGCGGCCATCATTTTGGCAGATACTCTTGGTCTACGCTTATAAAGTTTAGAATTGGAAGTTAAAGGAAAATAAGCCGAACTGTACAAATTCCTATTACCTATTGCCTCCTTTCTCAGTCAATCGTATACCTTAACATCCCTGAGCTCCCCGATCCAGGAACACTCCTCATTCGGACATTTGACCCGGGCATTCAGTATTTTACGATGGCAAGCAACATCAGAGAATATCTAAAATAAATAAACATATAAATAAATAAATTAATCAAAGAGTTATTAAAAAATAAGAGACGTCCCAATGACCATCAACTATATGTGAAGTATTTCAGAATACCCACTCCTCGGAGTAACGTTACAAGTGTAACACTCTTAAATTCACATTGACGCCCCATTTAAGTTAATTGGAGCTCAACAACACCTCCTCACTGAATCCCATACCATAATATTTCTCAAAGGCAGCACAGAAAGCCCTATGAATATGGGTTCAATTCAAAGTGAGTTCCTTTAACTAAGATATTTGCAGTTTTTTTTTTTTTAATAGAAGTACGGTGTATGTTTATTTTCTTGCCGTCTATCATGTATCACTTCAAAAAAGTGAAATCAATCGATCATAGATATAGGAGAAAACTGTACGATACCCCTTTACATTCCTTTTTTTTTTTAATAATTTGTAAGAACACCCTGCAAGTTCCAGTCCATTTTCCGTGTTCTCTTCCGATATCTTAAATAATATTATACACTGTTAAACACCAAAACTGACCAGCTGAGTTTGGAATTTTGATTCAACTGTGAACGGAAAAAATTAAACCCACATATTAACTCAAAGAAGGTACCCGCTTTCTTGATATCGGCTCTCGATCTGCAGGACACTGGGGTGTACCGGATCTAGAACAGGAACAATTGACGTGAGCCATGATAAATAGGAAAAAGAAAATCGCATGGGGGAGGGGGTGGAGGTAAAGTGGTTTTAAGGATTTTTGAAAAACTGAGGCCCGGTTTAAACGTAGCATTTTACATGCGTCGAATCTAACTGCCGAATTAAGGGCATGTAAAATGCGACGTTTAAATCAATTAAATTCGGCAGATTTGTATTAAATGCGAGTTCAGTCGAATATTCGACTGATCCAGTCGAATATGCGACTGAAGTTCGACTGTTGATTTAAACGCCGCATTTTACATGTGCCGAATCTAATTCATAAATTATGTTTAATTATATTTTACACATAACACAACAGTTTTATAGTACATGACATGCGCAAAGAAAACTGGCGGGAAAGAATCGAACATCAGAATATGTAGTCCATACCTTGTGCCACCAGCCTTCATTTCGTATCGATCGACGGCACGATCGGGGTCTTGGGACACGTGCTATGGCATTTCTTTACGATAGGAAAAGCATAACAAGGGAATGAACATACAGAAGCCGTCTTCTTCTTGCTAGCAGATGATGCACTGCCATCTGCATTATAATTCTCTGTTTCCTGTTAGCGCAAATGTTGCTTGAGAGGTATAAACGCCGAAAACACAAAATATCCTCCTTATTTTTGTCAGCCATATTGGCGGGGGACTTAGAGCGGAGTCTGGAAATGAAGCTGTCACTCGCAGTCGGCAATTAAATTCGGCACAATTAAATGCGACGTTTAAGTCAAATGCCGAACTTTCTTCATTCGCTCCGACGAAGGGCTAACGCTCGAAACGTCAGCTTTTGTAATCATTACGGTGGCCAATTTACCATTTCAACTTTGTTGATATATCCAAATTATTTCGTTACTCCCACCGACGCAGCCCCAAACAGTTTCTTTCGAAACTATCAGCCTTTATTCATTTCTTCATTCAGGTCGACTTAAATTAGTATTAGATTCGGCGCATGTAAAATGCGACGTTTAAACCGGGCCTGAGAGTCTGCCAATCTGTTTATTTACGTGAACTGTTTTGTCAAACCATATTGCCACAAAAAGTAAAGGGTAAATAACTCTAACCTTTACCACTGGTTATCAAAGGCGCCCTAACAGAAGAGAGTCTAAAGCTCGACCAATAAGGGCTCTACTCAAACGCTAATAATCAGGTAACGAGGTAAGTTACGAGTGCTAAATATAAACAGCAAGGCTTTCAGGGTTAAGTTATGCAAATTCCGCTCGCTTGTTTAGCATCGTTGCACGGCCGTCCGTCTAAAGCGAAAAAGTACATGTAACTTGAACTCATACATCTTGTGAATTTAGGATTAATTGGTTGTTAATACAAAATACACTCGCTTCGAAAATCGACAAGTTTTCAGTACTCAGTAAACCAGTTTCTGTCAGCAGTTATGAACAATCGAGTTCATTCTGTAAGAAGTTGTAATGCACTGTAATGTCGATTGTTATTTTTATCGATTAACGAAACGGAAAACGTAAAATATTTCGCAACCTTGAACATCGACACGAAAAAGAAAATTATGTCATACTTATCACTCTAATCGTTACAAAAACCAAAGTTCACTCCTTCAAGCTCGATAACTGCTTCGCGTTCACTTACGTCTTTCATTTGAATACCGTACAGCAGGAATTTTAGTCATGAACTACTGAAAGCAAAATATTACCTCAAAATTGACCCCACGCAGATTTCACAAAGCCTGTGGCCACACTTCTCAATTTGAACAGGATCTTTTAGAGGTAACTGACACACAAGACATTCCCAATCATCAGGGATTTCATCAACAAACTCATACTCGTAGCCTCCAAGGTCAGGCACTCCACCGGCAGCCATTTGTAAACTAAACAACGGTAGCCGTTAATATTACAAGCGTGACAAATTAGCCACGAACGTCATTTCCTGTTGGGAGTGGAAGGGTTTGGTTACAAAGGATACATCAATCAGTTAATTGCCGTCAAAGGTTGAAGTTATACTGGAAGTGAAAGTACAAAGTAAAAAGAGGAATAAAGTCGAAAGTGCACAAAAAAAGGAGCATAGTTGGACTTATTTTAAAAAAAATTCAATTCTCCTCGTGTCTGTCACGCTAAAAAAAACCCTGGATAAAAGACGAAACAATCATGTGATGGCATTTACCCTTTTACACCCAGAATTAGTTTGCAAGTTCTGCACATTGTTCTCCAGACGGTTCCTAACGTACATACAAGGAGAATTTGTTTGAAATAATCAAGAGCTTGATGAACTGGTCATCATGTTTAGGGGTGAAGCTGTTGGGATACTCAGGATCAGGGGTTAAATGGTGAACAGAAACGGCTCAGATTATAAAAAAAAGGCTCATCACGATATTTGTTCCCCATTTTTTTGTAAAATGCAGCGTTTCTGGTTTCTTTTAAAGATCGCCCGTTCAGGCGAGATATCCACCTTATTATCGGCAATGCGATTCAGCAATAAATGTCTTTTAATGACCATAACTTAAATCTTCAGTTGGAGTTTTGTGGTTTTTACAACTGAATATTTAGCTGGCAGCGCTACTAGAAGAAATATTATCAAATACTGAAATGTTTACGATAATAATAATAACTGAATTATTATAATTATTATGATTATAAAATATTATTATCAATGAAAGTGATAAAGGTAACGATGATGATCATTAACAACAGTTAGGGCGAGAAGGTGTCTCCACAAAAGCATAAGTGTGTACCGAACATGGCACGTCGCAATGATTAGGTTACATTGACTGCCGCTCATCAGAGTTAGTGGCTAGAAGTAGCAAAGTCATACATCAAGGCCCTTCTCCGTCTTTAACTTGATCGGCTCTAAAAAATCGAGATTGGAACTAAGTTACAAACTGTATGCCCTGCTCCTTTTTATTCCTAGCACGAGTTATTTAGAGGGGCTTAGGTTCAGGTACCGAAAGGGAAAGACGGAGAAATGTTCTTAGTATACGGCAAAGTTTACTTTCATGGAACAATGATGTCAGATATAAGTTACATTTTCTCCGATTATTTTATTTTAGCTATAATACGGTGCATCTGCTGGGCTTATTTCAAACTTAATAAAGAGAATATTGTCCACAAGATGAAACCCCGATTTCAGTTTTTCATGGGAAAGAAACCTTCCAAAACCTCGTCTCTCGTTTTCCTCGCCCTCTGGCCGTTTCATGCTTTTCCATGAAGCCTCGGGAACAAAAGACTTGACAAAATTACGCCTTTGCAGCACATTAGGGTTTTGGTCGAGAACCGAAAGCGTCACTTTATGTAGGAAAGGCCAAAGTAATATTGGGTCGTATTTCCCCTTCATCAGTGCAATATATAACGATATATAAGCGTTCTTGGCCTCTTTGGTGCCATTGGGATACATGGCGAGTTTCATTTTGTACCCTTGAGGACCAACGTAGAAGGGATCGCTTTCGACCCGAACCTCTTTGTCTTTCCTCGCCTTACTGACTCGATCCCAAAACTCGGTCACTTTCCATATAAATGGAGTAAAGGTTTCCATTTCTTTGTGCTTCAGTTTCACTTCAGTCACTTCGCTATATATTCCAGTGAGCTTGGACTCCATTTTTTGGTAATCAAGCTTTATTTTCTCCATTTCCTGCCTCAATATTCTGGTTTCGTCTTGCACATCAGCAAGTTTTTTGACGGATAGCTCAAAATGACGTCGGAGGTTTTGCTCTAGATGATCTTCTACGTCGCACCTTTTAATCTAAAACAATGGACACAGAAAAAATGAGTTAATGAATTAATGAATAAATGAATGAATGAATAACTGGGAAATATATGAATGAATAAATAACTGAGCGATGATGTTAACGGTAATGATGATGATGGCGAAGATAACGATAACGGTAATGATAGGGATAAAATCGAATAGACAAGGTCCACGAGGATGACATTAACCCTTGCTACCCCACTATCAGAGTCGTCCAATTGCAATTATTCGAAATTTCCTTGATAACTGGATGACAGGTCGACAAATTTCCCAAGAAAGATCAAAGATAGAAGACTAACGTATCCAATGCCTTTTCATATACTAGAATTATGCCAACTTCTCAGAAGAAAGTTTATGCTCGTTGGCTTTGTATATTCTCATGTAAAACTTGAGTTGGGGTATCGAAGAAATTTTTGGTATTGTGTGACCTTAATAAAAAAGGCTCCCAAAAGCCGTTTACTCGTGTTAAATAGATGACACTTATTGTACGTAACCGTCCGCCACATTGTCAAGTAATTTACCAAAATGAGTCTGAGAAAATCGACCTCCATTTCGAAATTAAAGAAATGTTTTCATGTTTATTTTTATAGTTTCGGCAATTTCTAAGAGCCTTGAAATACCTTAATGGTAAAAGTCAGTTGGTCAGCGGATGATCACGTTTTCTAATTAAACATCTATGCTATCCTGGGATAATTAGAGTGGACCTAGTAAGAGTTGAGCACACTCTCTCCAGCTTACCCAAGAGATCCAGGATATATGTTGCTAACTTACCTGATTGTCACAACCCAGATAGTCATACTGGCAACTCACTACAGTATGAGAGCAAACAACCTCCTGATGAGCCATCATCTAAACGGAGGAATCAGCGAAATATTGTTGGCATTTTGTCAGGAAACCTGTTTTGGGTGTAAATGCCTTTAAAAGTGCTGTTGAGATGTAAATTGTTATTACTTAATTTCACTTGATTCTCACTTAATTTTAAAAGCGAAAATGCCTCCAGGTCGATCAATGCAACTCAGTTTTTCAAATAAGACTCTCTGTGAGTTTCTTTGTTTGCTTGTTTCTTGGTTTTTATATTTTCGTTGTCGTCTTTGAACACCATTTCTTGTTCAGCTTTTTTGTCATTTCCTGAAGTCGAGGCAAATAAAAAATGCTAAACAGAAAAAGCAAGTGTCTTTAAAAAAAGAGTCTCGTACCTCTTCCCTGGCAACAACCTCACCACATCCATTAGAACAGTCAGTAGGACGTCTTCGGCATTCCCCAGCGTGTATCTATCAAAAACATGGACCATACATTTGTTTATTTATTATCATTATTATTATCAAGGCTTCAATGACAACGTTGTTTTATGGCTATTGGAAGACTGTTAGTCACCTCTTCATCGTATTTAGCGTGTTTTTTATCGCAGTATCCACATTGCACCGTTCTCCAGGGACACGTGTTTTTCACGTGGTCATCCACAAGTCTCCTCTCCATGGTGACGTCACAGTGAAGATTCGGACAGGAAGTTATCTTGCAACCGCAGGACTGCAAATGAGTCTGCAGAAGGAAATCAATCAATGACCCAGCGTTATTCTTCGCTAAAGTTGATCATAGCTGAATGGGTTCAGGAAAAATACAAACCGTTCCAACTAATGGTCAAGACTCTTTCAAGCTTTTTGTACCATAGAAGAGATGCGTTTGGAGCACTTTTAGAACAGGAACCTGAGTTAACAGAAATAGAGTGAATCTCATGTAAAAGCTGAGATGGAAATCATGCTCATTGAGTACGCTGCAGGTAGCTCATGACGTCATTCGAGATGATATATCTTTTATAAGACAATTCTTCCCCAAAATTCTTAGCCTCTCAAAAACTGTTTTTATTTACTCATTTCTGATAGACATTATATATGCTTAATTGTGTCAAGTTGTTTAGCTTAGTAGCTACTTTTTTAATAAGAGAACCCAGTAACAGAGATTGGTTCTATTTCAGTCTTTTGAGAAACTTTTCCCCATTAATGGAGAAAATAAAGACACAGGTTCTGTAGATTTTAAACGTGTTATTTAATATGTTTTCCGAAAACTACGGGAAGTCTTGGCCCGGTCAGGTTTATCATCCACAAAGCGTAATTAAGAAAAAACTGCACTTAATTTAAATAGACCTGAAATGTTGAATGAGACGCATCACAATTCGCAGGAAATGAATACGTCGATATCAGAAAAACAATGTAAAGTTGAGATGAGTGTTCCACAAACCGGCGGCGAATTAACAGGTTTCACTTGGTTAAACCGCTGTTCTCACTCAGTCTGTTCGCAGATCCGATACAAATTGAACATGAAAAATGTGGTTCACGCATTATTGGTTTGTATGCAAGACTTGGTTAAACAGAGATTTTTACTAATAATGTATCTTGTATTTGCTAAATTCCAATATTTTGTAAGTTAAGTCGCACACTAAAAGCTATATCAAAGGTCAGTCTTTTCCCAGTATCTCCTGTCAATTTCTACTGAAACAAAAATCTCAGGGGAGTGTGTGGGGGGGGGGGGGAGGCTTGTTTTTAAATCACCTCACAATTTACGTTTGGCAATAAATAGACACCACATATCTCTCACTGCTGATAAGCTTTGCTCACTTCGACATCTCTGGTTTCCCCAGTCCACTCGCATCCTGCGCTTGGACACCTCACAAGGCAGGACAAAATACTTCTTTCTGTCGCTTTATCGGGAAATATGTCCTAGATAAAAAAAATGAAATTATAGTGTAGAGGTTCAAATTATAGAGAAACACACTGAATCGTCATTTTACTTCTGAAAAAACCAGACATACCTGTTTGACCTGTATGGTCAGAAAATCATATCGAGGAATGTAAAATTGACAACTTATAACTCCTTATTTTAAAGATGAGGGAAACTGCAATATGCATAACGCTTGGGATAAAATGAATACTAGAAATTAGAATTAAAATAAGAAACGATAACCGACAACCCCTATTTTATATGAATTGCCCGTTGGAAAAAATTCTTACCACTAAGAGATTAACAGTAATCAAACCTGACTAATTATTTGGGGACTTCAATGCTGGAATTTTTTTTTTCTTTTCAACGGGAGCGATACAGCTGAAAACAATAAATTCGTGTATTCGGTAGCGGTTATCATTGCATCAGTCAATTTGATTGACATAAATTGAATGTTCACGCATCCAAGATGTTCTGTTTCAGACCAAACACTGGGGGATCAGCATCGATATTTTCAATATACTTTCAATATAATATAATTTCAATGGACTTTGATCTCGTCATTTCCTTCACCCACCTCCACACTGGCATTTTACATGACCAAACTGAGACGAACCGGCCACCCACGAAGTCACTGAACTTAGTACATTTAAGTTGTGACGACTAGCATCTGCCCGAGCGACTAAAGCAAGATGTTTCCAAAAACTATACCTCTACATATTTTCTTAGACATTGCTATAGAATAATAAAGTACGCAGTTGAATTTAAGGTCTTTTTATCATGGAGGTTTTGGGATGAAACCGTGGTTTTAGTCTGTATGATGATTCGTGGTGGTAGGCATAGCGTGACATCATTTTCATTTGATCGCGTGCTATGTAAATCACCAATGTGTCTCATCCTGATGTTTTATTTATTAAAAACTGTCTCGAAAATGATCACAACAGTCCTTACAGACGTCATGCTGTTCTACAAGCCGCATGTATGCGCAATACTGTTTCTTATTCTTCTTCGAAAAATTCTACAATGAGTTACAATGATCACCTTCTCTCGGTCCAATCTTTCCCTGTCAACAGGGCATTCAGGAACTTGTTGTCTGTAATAAAACATAAGGCGAAAATAAGAACAAGAGTTAGGTTAGCAAGAACACCGCCTTGGTAATCGGATTAAAACCAATGATAAGCTGTACATAAAAGAAGAACGTGATCGTGATACGATAGAAGAAATTTCTGTCGCTTTCGATTTAGCATATATTTTAGAGGTGTTTAAAACCGCATTTTATGAGAAAGTTAATTCTCCGCTGCTACTCATTTCAGGTAACCCACAACGGTGGGATAGTCTACAAAATAAAACCAAGAACAACATAAGATAGATTTTCTGTTTCGCCTGTACAGACAACACCGCCGTCAGGAACCTTATTTACTATAGCGACGTAGTCTGAATAAGAGTCTCGGCGGAAACTCTGAAACTCTTGTGAAATAAATTAACAATTTCTGAGAGGTAGAATTCGAAATTTCCTTCGGGAGTCCAATCGAAAGAACAACATCTTGCAAACGTCAAAGCGTCCGAAAAAGATCCTTACCTTTTCATGGCCTCGTCGAGACAATTCTTGCAATATCTGTGTCCACATCTAGTGAGAACTGGTTCTCTCAAAGGTAGTTGACAAATCAGACAGTGAAATTCTTCAAAAACGGTCGAAACAAACTCGTACTCATAGCCCGATAGCACCGCACCCTTATCGAAATCTGCCATCATTATAATGTCTTCCATGAGTCACGCAATTCAAAGAAGACAAGACGGAAAATTGTGATAATTTGATTAGGCACAGCTTGTGGTCCCATTGTTTTCTACTGCAGTTTTTTACATTATCATGAAGTTGTGAGGCTGTTGCTTTCAAATGATATTTACAATTTCAATTACATCTCTTTTCCTTAAATTCTGAGAGGAAAGTGTGGAGACATCTTATCATCAATACCAAATAGACACATATTTAAGAATATAACTGTTTTAATTAGTATAATTGCTCTGGTGATTATAGAAATGTGCGCACTCTGATTGGACAAGGATTGCGTCATATCTCTTTATAATCACCTCGCGTGAGGTGATTATAGCAGCGAAAATGGCTGCCCCGCGTTTTGTCAATGTTGCCGAGGAAGGGATGAACGTCGGATAAAGAAAATTCAATTCCAAATGAACCTATCAAATTCTATTGGAAACTGGCACTTCACCTTGATACAAGTAATCGTCTCGAGGACTAATCAACAATTTTACAGAGCCTGAGGCGAATGTTCGAAAAATCAACAAAAAAATAAAATAATGGCTGAAAACACAGACTGGCAGTTGGTGGCTGAATTAGATGTAAATCAAGACCACCCAATGTCCTTTTTTTCCTGCAGTTTGCATCATGATAAATTACAGTTGCATAGAAAAAAAGTAGATTGAAGATCAGCTCCATACATTTTTCAACTGTGGATAACTTTTTTGACTCTCTAAAGGCAAAGTTCAAAAATGTACGTGTCGTTTCAATTGCCCTGTTACCTCTCTGTCCAAATTTCCCCTATACTAAAAAAGTCTCTCCTCATAGACCACCATCTTGAATATACGCGAAGAACAGTATCTATTCACTAATTTCCCAGAGATTGTTGGTACATGCGGCGAACAATAATGAATAAACAGCGAACGTTTCGAGCTGGTTACGAAAATCTTCGAATTCCGAAATGGTCGCCATTTCGTGACGTCACGTGGTTATCAAATTTGATAACGATCCCGGATTCATGAGGACAACTCACGGTCCTCTTAGTTGCCTGCTACAAGAGGTAATGGGATTTCAGAAAAAATAAAAACGAAGAAAAACAATCAACAAAAAAAAAAAGAGGAATTGGCACAAAAGCTGTGTCCACAACAGATGAACATTCGAGCATTTTAACTACGAAAACATTTAGAAGCTGGAAGACGACAGCATGATAAGAATTGGTAGTGGTAGTGTGGGGAATTGGTAGTGGTAGTGTGGGGAATTGGTAGTGGTAGTGTGGGGAATTGGTAGTGGTAGTGTGGGGAATTGGTAGTGGTAGTGTGGGGAATTGGTAGTGGTAGTGTGGGGAATTGGTAGTGGTAGTGTGGGGAATTGGTAGTGGTAGTGTGGGGAATTGGTAGTGGTAGTGTGGGGAATTGGTAGTGGTAGTGTGGGGAATTGGTAGTGGTAGTGTGGGGAATTGGTAGTGGTAGTGTGGGGAATTGGTAGTGGTAGTGTGGGGAATTGGTAGTGGTAGTGTGGGGAATTGGTAGTGGTAGTGTGGGGAATTGGTAGTGGTAGTGTGGGGAATTGGTAGTGGTAGTGTGGGGAATTGGTAGTGGTAGTGTGGGGAATTGGTAGTGGTAGTGTGGGGAATTGGTAGTGGTAGTGTGGGGAATTGGTAGTGGTAGTGTGGGGAATTGGTAGTGGTAGTGTGGGGAATTGGTAGTGGTAGTGTGGGGAATTGGTAGTGGTAGTNTTCATCAATTAAAACAAATCGGGATCCTTTGTCCTGTATACGAATCACTACATTGGAATTTTTAAGTTCTTTAAGCGCAGCCCGTTCTTTTTTAGAAAGGTTATCTCTAGCTTGCCTACTGTTCTCAGGATTGATAAGATCACGCCGTACATTAGCTAAAAATAGTTCAAGTTCAGGGTACCTTGACGTTGGAGGTTTCCATTTCCTATCCTTTGGTACGCGGGGTAGGTGGCTAGGAACTGTCAGGTTGTCATCAGGATTACTATCAATGAAGAAAGCTGCTGTTCGTAGTCGAGCTTCAAATACTTCTAAGTCATCGTACACGCTCTGCCAATTAATGTCCTTAGGTGTTGGGCAAAACGATGGTCCTTTCCTCAGCAATTTTACCTGATCTGCATCCATGGATGTGCTCGAAAGGTTAACAGGGTCTAACTGGTGTAGTTGGTCCAAATTGACTGGGTTGGGCAATCTGCGTTTTTGGCGGAAATGCTGACGTTTCCTTAAGAGCCTGCCCCACTTGTTGTAGCGTCGACTGCGTCTGGTTGTGGGTGGATTATCCATTCTGGTGGCGTTGTGTAGGTCCAATTTAGAGTCAAGAGGAATGGTCTTAAGCCATACTGAAGGCGAACAGTTCCTTTGTGGTTTTCACCTCTTGGTTGGATTCCTTACTGGGTGCGGTGACAAGGTTTTCTGGCCATTTGCTAGGGTAGCTAAGCCACTCTGGTCCCCTCCACCATAGTCGGTTCTCTTTAGTTACCAATCCACCACGACAAGCGAGATCTGCAGGATTATCTCCAGTTGGTACGTGTCGCCAGATAACCTCAACATGCTCTCTAATCTTTCGCACTCGGTTAGCCACAAACTGCTTGTAGTCTCCTCCACCTAATATCCAGTGCAAGGCAACCCTACTGTCGAGCCAACAGTGTAGGGAACTTACTGGGAAACCTTGAAGCGCGTCTTGTACGTTGCTCAAGAGGTTTACAGCCATGTGACCTGAGACAGCTCAAGGCGAGGTATAGTTAGGCCTTGCTTCGCCAGTCTTGCTTTTTCCGTGACAAGTTCTTGATTTACAGTGCTTGGTTGTTTGACGACGGCGTACATAGCAGCGGTGACGCCCTTTCCGCTCGCATCCCCGAAGGCATGGAGTTCAGTTTTGTCGATCGATTTATGGACGCTGGTCAGTGCTCTTGGGCAGGAAACCTCATGTGGTAAAGAACGCTCCCACTTCTGCCACTGTTGTTCTAGAGGCACAGATAACGGTGCATCCCAGGCGGATTTCTCTTCGCAGGCATTTCTGTAAAGTAAATTTCCCTCCAAGGTAACTGGCGCGATCAGACCAAGGGGGTAGTAGATTCTTGCTACTTTTCCCAGAATCCCTCGTTTAGTAGGTAGAGCATCTTCTTCTGGAATAGTGACTGCAATTTCGTCCGTTGATTTATTCCATTTTAAACCGAGCAGACCGCACTCTCTGGACTTTACTCCTAGTTGCTGTTTCGCATAGCTTAAGTCATCTTCATTCTCGGTGTCCTCTGAGATCTCTAATTCAGGGATGTTTGAGGGCCACTTGTGCAAATGAAAAGTGGCCCGGCGGAATATTTCAGTCGTTGTAGCTTTCTTTTGTTTCGTTTCTTGGACAGTCCCTCCGCCAGTAATGAGGTCATCTACATAAAGTTCTCGTTCTATTTCTCCAACAGTATCAGAATTTTGATTGTTGGGGAACTGTTTCAAGTTGATCTCATGTTTATAGTAAGCGAAAGGAATTCTCACTGTTTCCTCACTTATAATAACTTGAAAAGTGCCTTTAATGTTTATGTTGTAAAAAGAGCTTAAACAGGAGCAGCATGAGTGCTTGTATTCTCCAGTCCACTAAATGCTGCTTTACAAGACTCTTTGCTCTTCCGATGCACAAATCAAAGGTCGTTCTTGTGCATAAGCAGGACCATTTGCTTCATTTGTGTTATTTTGTTTTAAAAAAAGCCCAAGTGGATTATAAGCTGCCTCAGTCCCACAATGGCAACAGATATTCCAGACATTTACTTCGTCATTGAAAAGGGAAACTTACTCACAACTGTCAATTTGGCGCAATTTCTAGCAATGTTTGCACAATCGATTTAATAAACTATTTAGGTTATATAAAATAGTTACATTCATCATAGGTGTCTATGTTGTCCTTTTATTTCTTATGTTTTTCTTTGTTTATGCTATATCGCAAGATTCTTCATAAATGTCAAAACACCGTAAAAGGTTTTTTACTGAAACAGTATCTAGAGCCTAATAAATGAGTGTTTGAAAGATGCAGTATGAGGTGTATTTTCGATATGTGATAGTAAGGGGGAAAATCAGAACACAGAGGAAAGACCCCTCTGCTTCTAAGTGGTGCAAATGGAGTTGAATTGGCTCTTTTAGAGGTCATTTATATAATTAGGAGAGGGCTGGAATTTGGGGAGCTGTTTTGGCTCTTTTCAATTCCGAAGTGGCTCTAATATTTTCCAAATTGACCCTTCACATGGTCTAATTTGGCCCTTACAACTAGGGCGATTTAGCCCTAAAACTGGTGCTAAAAACAGCTCCATTTCAGTGGGGCTGAATTGACTCAAAGTCAGTACCTGGACTCGCGCGTTTTGGCCCCACTTTTATTAGGGCCAAATCAGCTCCTTTCATTTTACAGTGTACATTTTTAAATGGGGCGCCATAATCTAGAAATTAAAAGAAAATGAAACTAAGGCCTATCGAAGGCAGCCACCATGCACGACTACATGAATTTTTCCCCGGCCTTACCGACACAGAGATAAGGTAACGATTTTTGAAAACTACAACACTTGAAGTTTTATAATTTGAAACAGCATATGGTACAAATTCGCGCAAAATACAGGAAAATGTTCGTAACTGTGACCCTAAAGCCTAATAAATAGTGTATGCAAGGGCATTTCTTGAGCTGGCCAACCGAGTATTTGGTAAAGAAAATTCTGGTATTATGGTCTCATGTATAACAATAGTTAGCAAACCGATGTTATATATCCTTGGTTAGTCTTATTGAAAATTTAACTATACTAGGGTTATAGTGGTAAAGGATCGTATTGAAGATCTTTTGCCGCATCCCAGGTAAGCTGATTAGGTTCATTATCCTCGCTTATCACTGCCTTAATAGGTCCGGCTGATTTAAAAGATTGTTTCTTTCTTAGATGTTCAAGATAGCTGTTCTCTTTTCTTGTCATTTTTCACATTTCTCTCTATTTACTTGTGACAGGTTTGGATTCAAAGCCAGGCTCTT